TATATATATATATGGTTTCTCCGTGGTTTAACTTATTAGGACACAAGATAGCACTTAATCATTCGAGGCGTGTAATACGAAGATTTAAGGTTTTCCAGAATTTCACGAACTGTACGATCAAAGATCAGAAACCCATAAAAACGGATAATGTTGGGATTGAGTTCCACGAAATGCGGGAAAATTTGAAGTGACAACGTTCCGGACGTATGGCTCAAGAGTAGACTAAACGTACCACATACCGGTATAATACTGTCAATAATAATGCATTGTGTGACCTCATAACGCAATACCTAACGACAAGAGAATATCGGAATCGAAAGTAAAAAGTCGTTACAACAATGAAAATAGATTCTTGCAGTTCCGCATTGACTAAAAATTCATTTATGGATTTGGGCAATATGTTTGCTAACGGTTGAACACTATCCAGTTTGACACAGGCCATCCACTGAAACGTTTGTCAACAAATAGCCCAGTTCATTGAACAAGCAAAAATATACAACTAAAAAAGCTAATGAAAAACAAGCTGAATGTTTTGGGAGGGTCGCGACAGTTCGTGGGTTCGAACCATGCCACCCGGCACCTAAGATTTTTACCTTCTCTATAGCATTATTCACTATTCATACACTAAACATTCCAGAACCCCGTTTGCTTTTAGACAGTTGACCCGTCCGGTTTATTCCAGTTTTTATAATCATTCCCTATGCACCTCCGTTCTGCGGTTTCGGAGTACAGGGGTAGCGAGATTGAGAACATACATGAGCGCCACTGTTCGCGACACTCAACCATACGCTGAGTGAAATGGTTGTGTTGAAAAATGGGGAACCCGTGCATCTTCTTTATGTCTACCGGAATTCTCTATCTTCCCTTTGACGTTGTCCTCAACATTCCAATTAATGACGAAGCTCGAGAATCAGTAATCGAGAAAAATTATTTGCTTCATCCCACCTCATCTGTGGAACATCAAATAAACGCAAGTATAAAATATTAGATTAATAGAAAAAAGCAATCAGTATTCGCTTTTTTCACACTCACTCTATGTGCATAAAAGAGATTGGCCCATGCCACTCAACTGCCCTGGTCGAAGATCGATCGCACGGATGACGTAACACAACCTGATTGCAGTGTTGTGGTGACCCAGCGGTGTGAAACATGTTGCAAAACCTACCCCGCACCCCTCCACCTACGATAAAATCACAGCGACCTTTCATTGACTAGTTATTCCCTTGAAACATGTCATTCCTCTGTATGATCTGTACAAGCGAGAAGATGAATAAGTGGAAACAACGGTTCACCTCTGAACGTGTGTGCGTTCATGTCAGCATACTGGACAAAGACTCACCGCTGGGCGCTCTTGATTCAATCAGACCATCCTGGCCCGACAACTCAGTATCCATATCCACGTCTGGTCTATCCGAAACGCACGTGTCCAGGTCCACGGTCCATTTGGTCGAATCCACCTTTTGTTCGCTAGGCACATTGGTATTCACGGTTGAAATCTGGGATGAACGCGACTTTTTTCGAGGCAAAGTGTTCATGGTATCTACACAGAACTGTGAATCCTCAACAATTAAAGTGGCAAAATTATCCGGTAGTGTGAGATTCATCAGCTGTGCCAGTTCACCAAGCCAACGGAAATTGAGCACTAGTTTGGCCAGTTGAAAAGATTGTTTATTTCGTCGACTTTCCAATTCGCATACGTGTTCGACCAGATCACTCACTTTCTTCCGTAAAATCTCGAGTTTTTGTGTTTGCTGCAATTCCTATAGGTGAGTAAAAATTGTAAAAACGAACCAAATAATATGTATATTTATAAATGACACTCATGGCACGTATCCCACAAACTCGTCAAAATTTAAA